AACACCGGAATAAGGAAAATCACATTGTTGTGTGTTTTATTACACTATTGGTGCATGTTGTCAACACTGTTGGTGTATTCTGGAACTCGACCGCTATAAATGGCCACTGTAATTACCATAACACGGGAATACACCATTGGTGTGTTTCACTATGGTGTGTTTTATTACACTGTTGGTGTATGTTGTCAACACTGTTGGTGTATTCTGGAACCCGCCCGCTATAAATGGTCATTATAATTACCATAACACCCCCACTTACTAAAACGCGCGAAAATCCTCAGAATTACCACAGCCTTTAGATTAAACTGATTCAACGACACAGATACGACCACACGACCACACCTAATAACATGACCACATATGAGCGTTTTTCTATATATATATATATATATATATATATATATATATATATATATATATATATATATATATATATATATATAATGAAAAAAATGAGTAAGGCCGAGTCGGCCAAGTTAATTCAACTAACTCGACCGAAATAGACGAGTTAATTCGGTTGAGTTAAGCGCCCAGACGGCCAAGTCGACCGAGTTAGGCACTAGGCGGACGCCTAGGCGGCCGGTTGCCTAGACGGGCGTGTAACACCCCTAATTTTTAAAACATTTAAAGCTTATAGGTAGATATAAGAAAGCCATTTTGAGACTGAGGAATACATATATAGTCCTAGCAACTCTAGCTTTAAAACCAAGATCAAGACTCAAGACACATTAGCTGACTTGACACTAGAAGATAACATAAAGATACTAGCATACAACCTAATTCCACAAAATAAGACAATAACAAGACTCAAAAACAAACCAAGATGACAATAAGACTCAACAACGATCAACAACAACAATAAACATGTCCATGTTCCAACCTTATACCATGTTCCAACCTTTACTCCTCTAAATCCTTATATCAGTTCCAACATATACCTCCAGGCCACCCTTATATCGCCTCCCTTATTCCTCCGGAGCACGCATGCTCCCCACCGACATACCGCCAACAAAGCCGCCGATTTGATAGCACCACAGTACTATTAACACATGATCTGTGCCTATAGTACAATAATCAAGGGGTCATGCCTATAGCACAATGACATGGCACCGCAGCGCTAATAACTTGATATATGCCTTTAGCAAACTAATCAAGGGTGGTCTGTGCTTATAGAACAATGACCGAGCACTCGTTGTGCTAAACCGCCAACAAAATCTTTTCCACCAATCACATCTCTTTTCTCATCATGGGCAAATTAATCACAATAATCAATGCTCAATGATAACAGCAACCATCAACACTCAATCAACAACAGTAGTCAATTCTCAACAACAACAACAATCAAAGCTCAACAACAACAATAACCACTACACACAACTCCTAAAACGGTACCCGAAACATCACACGAGGCTCATAAACACCAAACGGGGCACAACGGGGAACGGGGAAACAACGAACGGGGTAAAACAGCACAATACATCGCCCGTACAAGTGGGTGGTCAACCACTCGCCGTATACACCGCCCGTACCAGTGGGTGGTCAACCACTCGCCGTCCACCCGCCGGTAGGCGGTCTTGTACCAGTAGGTACACGAGTGGTCGTCCACCCGCTGGTACGGGGGACGGGTACTAGCGAGTGGTCAGGTGGGGATTTGTCCCCTCCACCGACCCCCCGCTGGTACGATGCTAACTTGGCACTTCCAAACCCGGGAATTCCTTCAATTCGGCCAAGAAACCAACACAATTAAATCTTAAATACAAGCACTAATTATGCTAAGAATCAAGAATAAATACACAACGGTTCAAGATCTTCAAGAACCTCAAGAACTCGATCATACCAAGCTTTAACGACAAACCCTAAACCTAGAATAACACCCGAGCATGCATAAACCCAACCAAGAACGCCAATAACGTATCCAATAACAAGATTCACCGAATAAATCCTATGGACAAGATCTAAACACAATTAAATACAAGAATATACCAAGACCACACAGGGCCACCAAGAATATCAAGAATAACAAGAATCCATATCACAAATTCCTAAAGACAAGCTCTAACAAGGCACAATTACAAAATCATACATTCAACCGTTCAACGGATCCAATCAATAAACAATAGCAAGGGAAATAGGTTTTGTAAGACATGGGTTACCTTTTTAGCTTAATTAAACTTCTCACAACTTCCTAAGATCTTTCCTTAATCGATCCTCCCTAAGTCTGGTGATGGGGAATTCTTTGACTATGCTCTTGGGAGAGGATTTCGTGTGGGGAGAGGGAGATATGGGTGATAGGTTTCTAATGCTTTCTAATTCCCCTATATATAGGTTAGGATCCCTAATACGAATATGAATGAGTAAGAGGTTTAGGATTCCTATTACAAATCTGAAAATGTAAAAGACTTAGGATTCCTAATACTAATCTGAAAAGGTAAAAGGTTTAGGATTCCTAATACTAATCTGAAAAGGTAAAAGGGCCCTCCTTATTTTATCAAAAAGGGTAACGGACTTTATTTTAGGCAAAGGCCCACGGTCCATCATGGACCATATCAATAAATTAGGGATTTGGGTATTTAAAATCATAGTTTATAAAATAACTAACAAAGCCTGTAGTAACATATTTGGGTACATATAGATATTTTTAGCAAAATATTTAATTATAAGTAAATAGTTCTATTTGGTAAATATTTGTATCTAATATAAATATTTAGTGCAAAAATCCCGCCTAAGCGCTAGGCGGTCGGCCACCTAGGCGCCCACCTAGGCACTCTAGGCACCAGCCTAAGCTCTCTAGGCGCCCTAGGAAGTCCCCAGGGGCCTAGAGGGCGCCTAGCGATTTTTTCAATCTTGCTAGTGATGGATACCCCCGAGTAGGGTACTCAATCAAGAACATACCTCGGTGGTCAGGACTCACAATTTGACCACGTTATCTAGAAGATGAGAGGAATCCAGTAGCTTGGCCCCATGCCGAGGCGTATGACCCGTTTGATAGGCTTGGCTGGTCGTCCACCGAAGGTAGTCGACTGGAACGCCTAACTGGGTGCCACACTCAAAGGAAGTTAAAGGAGATTTTCTAGAGATTTCCTCCAGATTCTACGCAGGATTTCCTTTTCAATATTAGGACAGAAGCATGGCGGTATGGAAGCTTTCCTAAATCCTAATTTGTTAATTTCTTCTTTCTTTTCTTTCTAAGGCACATAAATCTTGTATAAATACCCCCTTAGGGCACATTGGAACGGGTTCTGGATTCCATTTTCTTGCAATTACTCTATCAACTTTCTATCCTATTTTTTCTTTTGTTTTACGGTTGTGTAGGCCTGCCGTTTGACTTCCCCGTGACTGTAAAACCAACATCCACTAAATTAACAAACCAAAGGCTAAGCAAATTAAAGAAAAAGAAGAGAACCAGAATTTTCGCAAGTATAATTTGCTACTACAATTGAAGAATTTGCGCAGCCCAGAAACTACTGCCAGATTGCCGAACACAATATTCCACCGGACTTATTAAATAGAGCTGTCGAAAATTATCTACCAACCAGAAGAATTTAGCACGCTGCCAGGAATCTCCTACCGCTACACCGGAGACACCAAATAATCCACCGAGAACAAATTGCTATGAAAGATGATGACTGCCTCTACGACATTGCCCCCCTTTTATGCTACACATCCCATTGCTCCCTGAGAAATTCTTCATGCAAGAATTGCTCCCCAACTCCTTCAAAAGACCTTGAACTAGGGACATCCCTCAGTGACCAATTCTTTTGTTCAAAACTATCTTCTTGCAAATCGAAAAGCGAAAAAGGAAATGATAAAATGGAAAAGGGAATTCAGGGTGGAGTGCGTTGAATCTAGATATAGCAAATGCATATGATAAAATGGAATTAAGCTACTTGCGGGGGCTTATGAGCCAGCTTGGTTTTGATACACGGTGGATTGATCTCGTTATGCTCTGTTTTACTATGGTCCGTTATAAGGTTGCAGCGAACGGGATCCTAACTAACACCACCCTTCCTAAAAGAGGGTTACGTCAAGGCAAAGCTTTGTCTCCATACCTGTTCATCATCATTACAAATGGCCTATTTCACCTTCTTGTTAGGCCAGGGCTGTCCGGTTGGGCCAAGTATCGCCATATGTTGGTTGTTAGAGGAGCTCTGGGAATCTCTCATCTATTTTTTGCAGACGACAGTTTACTCTTTGCTGGCAGCAACCAGAGTACATGAAGCATTTATTTTGTGAGAGTTGCCAGGTGGTGCCGCTGTAATTCGATTAATTCGGTCTCATGTTGCCGAACATGGAAACTGATTTTGGAAGCTAGCCTGGCTTTTTGGGAATCCTATCTCAATATGATATGGAGAATAAGCTAAAGTGCATTGCTTTTTGTTGGAGCATATGGAAGAACCGAAATGAATTGGTTTGGAATCATAACCCGTGGCGGAAGGTCTAGTATGTGAATGGCTGAGTGGTGACTGTGCAAAATGGTTAACAAGTTCCTCCCTCGCCAGAGCTTCCGTTTTCTAGGCGATGGGGACTGATTTCTTTGGTATGGTTGCGCAGACCAGTACGAGTGATTTTTTGGCAGCCAAGAATGGTCAGTTCATTGCATGAATCCTTATATAGCAGAAGCGCTCGCTCGCAATCAAGGAAGCGTTATTGTGGATTATGAAGAGATGGTGTGAGAATACTGTGATTTATTCAGATTGTCAGACCTTGTGTAGGATGTTTAATGATGATTTACCGAATTTCTCTTATGCAGGGTGTGTTATTGGTGAATGTCATACTCTCAAACGACACTTTGAATCAGTGTCCTTTCGATTTATGTGCAAATTAGCAAACTAGCTAGCTCATGCATTAGCTAGATATGTGAGTTGTGAGTCTAATTCTTCTATTTGGTGTTTTTACTATTTCTTCTTGTATTGAACATTTGATTTTTTGAGTTGGAGGGAATTCCTTAAAAGAAAGGGAAAAAAAAAAAAAAAAAAAATTTCCTAACGGGTTTGCCCGAATCCGTTTTCTTGTTTACATCCGGGTCACTCCGGTCAGTCAGTCATCAGTGTAGTGTAACGGATAATGTTCTCTCTATCCTCCACCGCGCACTGCTCACAGCATCCGCCGTTCTCCGCCTCTATCCTCACCGGAAAGCACCACTCTACCGCCACCTCCTCTGCAATTCTGTCTTTCAATTCCTCCTCCGGCGACCTCAGCCGGGCTACTGCACACAAGCCTCTGAAAACCTCCTCTTCTGAAAACTCCAAGCTCCTCCTCAACAATTCCATTACTTCCACTCCAACCCCTCCCGCTGTCGTCGCTCCACCACAAAATGTCGATACCAAGCTCTGCCTGTCCAGCGAACAGTCCCCGCCGGCAGCTCCTCAAGATACATCTTTAGGAGAATATGAGAATGGTTCTTTGGGAAATTTGGAAAATTCAGACTCGGATGAAAAGGATACGGGAGGAGCTGAATTTAGGGAAAAAGGAAAGATCTTTGTAGGGAATCTTCCATTGTGGATCAAGAAAAATGAGCTTGCAGAGTTATTCGGGCAATTTGGGCCTATTAAAGATGTGATTTTGATTAGGGGTCACCATGAAACTGACAGAAATATGGGGTTTGGGTTTGTGATATATGGAGGGTCCAGTCCCGAGAAGTCGGCTATCAAGGCAGTTCAGTTTGACGGAGTTGAGTTTCACGGGAGGGTGTTAACTGTGAAGTTGGATGATGGGAGGAGAATAATGAAAGATAAGAAAAAGGGCAGAACGAGGTGGATGGAAGGGAGCTCAAGTAGGAACTTCAGGAAGGTTTTGGAATCGCAGCCAGAGAATTGGCATGCAGTGGTGCGTGCATTTGAAAGAATCAACAAGGTATATGTTATGTTTATTGAGTTACCTTAGGGTTTTGGTTGCTGGGTATGTTGTTTAGTTGTTGGAAGTTGGAACTTAGAAGTGAATTCTGCCTGCCAAATATGGTTTTGAGAATGTGAAATACTATGCCCGCTAGGGCTTAGCTCAGAAGTTCAATAGGCCGTATTTGTGAGAAGATACTGGGGTGGATTATGCTCAAAGTGGGACCGGGGTGTGGGGGCCCTTGGGTTGGGGATTCAACCTTTTGGGAGAAGAGAATGTGAATACTATTATTTGCTGCACAAATGCTTGATTGAAGGAATAAAGAAGAATCAATAAGTTTGAGTTTAATGGCTATTATTGATATGCTTTTGCAATGATAAAAATGACTTCTAGGTCAATTAACTGATTTGTATTTAAGGAACTATATATAGTGGATGTTCATTTTAGGCAACTCATGTTGTGTTATTTTGTATCACTTCAACTGTATATATGATTATGATCTTTGTAGCCATCCAGGAAGGAGTTTGGGATGATGGTGAACTATTATGGTAGGAGAGGAGACAAGCATCGAGCCAGGGAAATGTTTGAGAAGATGCGCTCTAGGGGAATAGTACCAACATCTTACGAATATACCAAGTTAGTTTCCCCCTATAAAATGCGGTTTCAGTTTACAGCTGTTCGTCACTACCAAACATGTTGCCATGTTGGTACTTGATTTTGTTTGGAGATATACTGTTGAGTATTCGCCATTGTTTGCCATGGTGCTTTATTTTGAAGTCCTTGTATAATTTTAAGCATTTTGCATTTGTTGAAATTTCATATCTAAGAAATTAAGGGTACGTAGATAATCATAAATATTATTTGCTGGTTTAGACGCTAAAGGATTTGTATTTTGTGCAGTCTGACTTATGCTTACACAGTGAGTAGAGACATGGAAGAAGCACTTACTTGTGTGAGGAAAATGAATGATGAAGGAATTGAAATTAGTGTGGTAACTTATAGTATTATTGTTGGTGGATTTGCTAAGGTTGGCAATGTTGAGTAAGTAATTTGCATCCCTTTCTAATAGTTCTCGGTTTATATCGCATTCAATCTTTTCTGCTTGCACAGTTTACATTTTCCAAATGATTTTCATTAAGCTGATATTGTGGCTCTTGATACCATGTCAAATGGAGAACTCCATATGTTTTCATATATCTCAGACTAAGGAATATACATATTTATACAAGAAACTATATACTAAGGTAAGGATCGGAACCTAATCCCTAAGAATATACACATTAATCCCTAATATCATGCTAAATATATTCCTACCATTTATAATGTCGCTTAATATCATGCTAAATATATTCCTACCATTTATAATGTCTAACAATGCTTTAAGAAGCGCATGTGCTTTCATGCTTCCTCCAATAACCAAGTTTTCTTATCCATTGATTGTTTGGATTAATTTATTAGATTTTATAATTCAAACTTTGTTGATGTCCCCTTTTCCTGTTTCTGCAAGAGCTGCAGAGCACTGGTTTCTGGAGGCCAAAGAGAGGCATGCAACCTTAAGTGCGAGCATATATGGAAATATAATCTATGCAAACTGGTATTTTATCATCAATTTTGTGTCTCCACTCCGTTTATTCAATTTTATTTTATTTATGCATTTTCCAATAGTAAAATTTGTTGCATTATTTAATTAATGTGTCATTTTGCTGACCTGGTAATTGTTGTTTGATTCACAAGTAGCTATGTGGTTTTCTTTTTCTTCTGCTTCCTCATTTTTTATATGGTAAGACTAATGTATTTTTAGGAGCTAATGTTGTTGGAATTTATTATTAAATGCAGCCAAACTTGTAATATGGATCGAGCCGAAGAGCTATTGAGGGAGATGGAAGAAGAGGGTATTGCTGCTCCAATTAGTATATTTCACACCATGATGGATGGCTATACAATTACTCGAAATGAAGAAAAATGTCTTCTTATGTTTGATAGGCTTAAGGTAAGAATACGCTTATTAAAACTACTCTACTCGGTGTGGGTGCGAAAATTTGTATTTCAGGTTTTTGAATTTGTGAAACTTGAAAATTTTATCAAGTAATGGAGGCACTAAAAATCCTTTGGATAAACCATCTTAGTTGGCGTGATTGGCCGTTCACTCTCAACCCCTAAGAGAGTTCGGGAGTTCAAACCCCCTCTTGTATGGAAAAACCAATATGGCTAGCACTTTGCCCCTTAATTGGGCCGGCCCGGTGCGAACGGGGATTAATCTGAGTATGGTACAGGCTGAAATGTGCCTCCTACAGTTAGGGCCTCCTTAGGACACCTCGTGGCATGGATGAAGTAGGCGCTAGGCGTTAGTCGGGCGGTAGAGTAGCACCTAGCGCCTAGACAGCCTAGGCGGCTAAACTAAAAACAAGAAAAAAACAATGCATGCGTGGTGTATGTCATATTATACACACACAGACACACACACACATATATATATATATATATATATATATATATAATGAAAAAAAAAATTAGCAAGGCCGAGTTAACTCGGCTAACTCTGCCGAATTGAACGAGTTAACTTGGTCGAGTTCGTCAACAACTCGGCCGAGTTAGGTGTCTAGATGGCTGCCCAGGGGAAATCGCCACGGTCTAGGACCGCCTAGGCCGATTTTTGCAACAGTGCCTCATGGTATAACCAAAAAAATCCTTTGGATATTACTTGCATTTGGCATGCGTGACCTCACTTTTGTCAACATCATATGATGGTTGCATGATCGTGTCTAACAAATCCACATGTTGTTTTAGTGAAGCTATATGAGTAAAGCAATGCGATTTCTACTTGGAAATTAAAATTCTTCCCTCTGGCCAGATTTTGACTTTAATTGGTGTTGCAGGAGTGTGGCTTTACACCGTCAGTAATCAGTTATGGATGTCTCATTAATATCTATACTAAGGTGCATTTTCCTCGACTTAATCTCTACTTGTAAAACTGGCTTTGGTTGTTTTACTTGCTTCCTTTTCACCGTACTGCTTCCTAAAATTCCCAAGTAGCTTAGTAGCTTTTCTAACATCACGTTTTTGTATTAATGAGCACAATGTTTCAATATTTTGAGTATCTGATTGTAGTCAGGAAAGATTTCTAAAGCTTTGGAAGTCTGTGAAATGATGAAATTCGAAGGCATAAAGCATAACATGAAAACCTATTCCATGTTGATCAATGGGTTTATTAATTCGCGGGACTGGGCAAATGCGGTTGCTATCTTTGAAGATGTGATAAAGGATGGTTTGAAGCCTGACCTCGTGCTTTATAATAATATCATCGAAGCCTTCTGTGGCATGGGCAATATGGATCGTGCCATTCGTGTAGTTGACGAAATGAAATCGCAGAAGTTTAGGCCTAGTTCACAAACATTTATGCCTATCATTCACGCTTTTTCAAAAGTTGGAGAAATACGCAAAGCCCTTGATATTTTTGACATGATGAGGTGGAGCGGATGCATACCAACTGTCCACACGTATAATGCTATAATTCTTGGCCTCGTTGAAAAGCTTCAGGTAACGTAAACTATCTTTCTTTGGAATTTTTGCACTTGGGTAGAGCATCAAAAGCAATGCATGGTTTCTATCTTTTCAAATCCACAAGACAATATCAAATAAGGCATCCATGCTGGCTAAGTATTTGCCTATTGTTTTCTACATATATACTTATATTCCTAAACGAGCTCCCTATCATTATGTATGTCTATGCAATCAAATTACTCGATTGCCAACTACTATGTAGTGTGAGGGCACCTCTGTTACCATTCCAAATGGGTGGTCAAAAGATCGAACCCCGGTGGTGGGGGCATTGGTTCTTGGGCTGAAAAAGATTGAGAAAGTATAGAACAGATACTACCTTGTAAAGAATCATGTGTTTCAAAAAAAAATAAGTATTCTCTGGATTAACATCTCTGGGCATCCTTGTGACAAACCGATTTTATACTTCCACATGACATTGACATTTCACGCCTTCACGGTGGAAAGTCTTTGATACAATTGTTTATTCTAGATATACTACATGAACATTGTGCTACACTAAATATAGTCGTGCATCCAACTCTATACAGATGGAGAAGGCTGTGGAAATTTTGGATGAGATGTTACTGGCCGGTGTTAGACCTAACAAGCATACATATACTACAATCATGCATGGTTATGCATCGGTTGGCGATACTGAAAAAACATTCGAGTATTTCTCGAAACTTAAAAACGAGGGGCTGGAGCTCGATGTGTATACTTATGGGGCACTACTCAAGGCATGCTGTAAATCGGGAAGGATGCACAGCGCGTTGGCAGTGACAAGAGAAATGAGCATTCAAAACGTTCCTAGGAATGCCTTCATATATAACATATTAATGGATGGGTAAGGGTTGTTTTATACCTGCTATGCTGGCATTAATAATAATTAGTCAAAAACCTAATTAACAATCGTAGCACCCAAAGAAAAACGGGCATGTGCTCTTTCTTTGCTTCTTGGGCATTCTTTCTACTATGTTGATTTGAATCCTTGGTTCTATCTATTTTGTTGTCCGTGAAGGTGGGCTCGAAGAGGTGATGTGATGGAGGCTACTGACCTGATGCAACAAATAAGGCATGACGGGATTCAGCCCGATGTCCATACATACACATCTTTAATAAGCGCTTGTTGTAAAGCTGGAGATATGCAGGTAATATATGATTATTATTTACCAGCAGGTTACCATTTCATGTATATTGCTAACAATTTGGTTCTCTAAAACGGGTGTGTGAATGTTATTGCTTTGACACTATCCTGATCCTGATGAATATTCCTATAGCGTATTTGCTTTTCTTTCTTAGGTGTTAACAGTCCCACATTGAAAATTAGCTAATTGATTGATTCAGTCTTTTAGTGTGGTTGGGCCCATGTGCATTATAACACAGTTGAGTGACTTTGGCTCAATCTTAGATTATAACATAGTATTAGAGCCTATACGGTCCACTTTGTGTTCATCCGGTGGTCAACTGGTTAGATTCAAAATAACCTGGTTCCACTCGAGGGGGAGTGTTGGATTCAGTCTTTTAGTGTGGTTTAGCTCATGTGCATTTATAGTTCAGTTGAGTGACCTTGGTCCAATCTTAGATTATAATCAGTCATTAAGTGATGTTGAAAAGAGGCATTTACGTGAAGTTGTTTGCTCTTGCATTGAATTAAGTCATGCATTCTAAAGTTATACACACTTCATTGGTTACGTTAGAAGGTACTATTTCTCGAGTGCTGGATTAGTCTGAATGAATGCATATTGAGTATATTTATTGTCAGAGAGCAACGAAAACAATTGAAGAGATGAAGTTGGTCGGAGTGCAACCCAACGTAAAATCCTACACCACGCTCATAAATGGTTGGGCACGGGCATCTCTCCCGGGGGAAGCTTTGAAATGCTTCGGGGAAATGAAACAAGCCAGGCTAAAGCCAGACAAAGCTGTATACCATTGCTTAATGACCTCGCTGCTGTCAAGAGCCACATTCAACGACAGTTACATTTTAACAGCGATCAAATGCCTTTGTGGAGAGATGGTGGAGGCCGGGTTGACGGTTGACATGGGCACCGCTGTCCACTGGTACAGGTGCTCGCGCAAGATCGAGAGGACTGGCGGGGACATCACAGCGGCGCTGCGGAAGACTTTTCCGCGTGATTGGAATCCAGATAAGCTTCCTAACACAGCTTCTTATATCAACGATGAAGGTGAAGATTTACACTATTATAATGGTTATGATTAATTGATTATTGTTTAGAGTCTCACATTGAAAATATAAGAGAGAACATATGAGTTTATAAGGTCATGAGTTGAACTAGCTAATTGATTGGATTCAGTCTTTTAGTGTGGTTTTATCCATGTGCATTATAGCTTATAGTTGAGTGACTTTAACCCAATCTTAGATGTGATGCAGCTCAAATTTTTGACCGTATCTAGATTAGAGTTAGTTAGGCCTAAGCTCCATGTAAGTTTAAATTTTCTTATTGCTTACAAGAAACACTAAACATATTTGTTGGGGATAATATTGCCAATACACGGCATACGTATATATGGAAAATTCTACAATGTTGATTTGTATTTAGTATTGTTAGTGTAAATTCAACTCATGATCTTAACATATAATTATGAATTCGATTGGAAAATGAATGTGTTCGTTTATTTCTAATGAAATACTAGTGATTAAAGAAAGCCTTTAGGGTTGCTTGGAGCCAATATTTAAGGATCGTTATGCTGTGCATCCGTGTGCACCATGTAAAAACGACGTCGTTTTGATTAAAAATGCACGTCCCTTAAAAAAAATTCAGTTTCGATTCCCCTCAACAGCATTATGTTGTTCATTCATTCTGGATTTTTAGTTCATTGATTCTGGATTTTTAGTTCGTTCATTGATTCTGAATTTTTAGTTCATTGATTATGGATATATAGTTTAAATTATGCACAACATAATGCTATTGCTGGGAATCGAACTGGCAGCTCCCCGGAGAGAATTGTTTCTCCCTTTGATTTTTTTTTTTAAATGGGACGCGCGTTTTTAATAAAACGATGTCGTTTTTGCATCCGTATGCACCATGCATGGTGCACACAGATGCACCGCATAATTTGCCAATATTTATTGGTTGGACTGTGGTTTACACAGCTGTGTGAATCACGGTGACATTGTTTCTCGCATTTTTTTCACACGACTCACTACAACATGCATTTTTATAATTCATAATATATATTATTTTAACTCATAAAGTACATTATTCAAACTCATAAAATAAATTATCTTACCCCAAAAGTTTCATTATTCTAACACATGTACATTATTCTAACACATAAAATATATTATTTTAACACATAATGTACATTATTCTAACACATAAAGTATATTATTATAACTCATAAAGTACATTATTATAACTCATGGTCAGCTTATACGTGCCCTAACCGGCTCAGAGTTAGTTACAATCTACGTTAGGGAGTCTCAACACAAAATCCGCTCCTTGTATCAATACATGACGTCACCTCATCGGCATTCTTCTTTGTCGTGTTCTGGTCGAGCTACTAGCCCTTCTGTCTATCTGGGTAACAGACTTGCTTTGTATTTTCCCTAACAAGTATAAACCCGGAGTTAATTCCAGCAAAGATCTTTTGACTATAATGATTTTTTAAATTTGGTCCTTGTTTTTTAATTGGGACAAATATGACACTTGGCTATTAAAATCTTTTCACTATTGATCCTTCCATCACTTGATCATTATTTGAACGTCAAAGTCAGGGATAAAGTTAGTCCTTTCATTTGTTTAGTGTCTTCTTCCATGCTAAATATTTCATTGTAGCGTAGTAGTTATATGCAAGCTTTGGAAACTTAAATCTTTAATGCTAAATATTTCAAAATCTTTGCACCATTGCATTTAATTTCTACGTCAGGCATGAATTTCAAATACCAACAACTTTCAACATTAAAAAAATAATAATAATAAATAAATAAATAAATAAAGAGCCATAGTGAAATGATCCCAACCCAGATTTCTTGAATTGCACTTCACACACATGTTGAAATCCTTTGATCACATAAACAAACCGAAACCCAGAATCTTGAAATTGCCATTAACAAATAAATTCTATGAAGGAAAGTTCAAGCTTTACCATGGAGATTGAACGCTGAAGCTTCTTTTTTTTCTTTTTTTTTTTAAAAAAATCTTTCAGGAAGGCAAGATAAAATTATTATTTGGGAGCTGAAGATGAAATGTGGGGGACTGTTGAGGAGGAAGAAGACACTCAACAAATAAAATGACAAATTTACCCCTGACTTTGAAGTTCAAATAACGATCAGGTGAGAGAAGGAATAATAGTGGAAAGATTTTGATAGTCAAATGTCACATTTGTCTAAATTAAAAGACAAATACCAAATCTGAAAAATCACTACAGGTCTACAGTTAGAGGACCTTTGTTGGAATTAACTCTATAATCATGTATACCATAAATATTTGTACTGCGAACTACATATGAAAAATTTTATCATGTTGATCAACACCAGTGCCAATTGTGTTAGGTGTAATCATGGTTGCAGTAGGCGCTAGGCGCTAGTCGGGCGGCCGGCGCCTAGCGCCTAGGCGGATTCTAGGCGGCGCTAGGCGGGCACCAAAAAAATTTAAAAAAATAGTAACAGACTTGTAGTTCGACAATTTTAATGAGGTTGTTTTCAACGTTCACTCAAATAACACATCTAAATAAATGAAATAATGATAATTTATAAGTCATAATGTCATAATAATATTAAAATCAATAATTAATGAAAAACGACATCGAACAAAATCGGTCAAAATAAAACAAAATCGGTCAAAAAGATCAAAATCGGACGAAATCGGTCGACTCGACCGAGTTGACCGACTCGGCCGAGTTTGGTCGCCCAGGCCGCCTAGGCGGCCGGCCGAGTTTTGGCCGCCTTTAAGCCAAAACTCTAAGGCTCGGTGCCGCCTGTCCGCCTAGGCGACTAGGCGGCCGAGTTTTGCAACCTTGGGTGTAATCATGAACACTAACTAATTGTACTGGGTGTTATTGGTCATTGCCGGCCTTCGATGTACAACCATAAAAAAACTAATATAATAATAATAATAACCTAAAGTAAATTGATTAATATTCTTTTGACCCATAGCTTATTGGTTATGCAGGGAGGCTCCCAACTATATATATTGGCTCAAAATTCCAATTGTTTAAGGAACCTTCAAAGCATGCAAAGTGACATTGGAGCTTTTTGTCCCTGGTAGTAGCCAACAACATTATAATAATATACATACATTAATTATAACAAAAAAAAAAAAAAAAAAACCTTAAACATCCTTGAAGACGCCTTAATTACATTGACTTTATAAACATATTTATAAAGATGTCTGCTTAAAGCCTTAATCTGTTTTTATTAAATTAATTATGTTATCTAAATATGATCCTCATGTTTAAAGGGAACATTGTGAATGGTGGGTGTCTAACATATATGGCCTTTGATCTTTTCTTTTTTTTTTTTAAAAAAAATAATAATTAATTATTAGTATATTTTGACCAATAATTGGAACATTATTAATATGAAAAAATGGATTATTGAGTTAAAGTGGTTGCAATCATGGAAGGTCAATTTGCATGTGGCCTTATCTGTACATGACTTGTGTCATATAAATCATGGAGAGTGGTAGAGAGGAGACAAACCAGTTCATGCACACACATTTTTGCTCCTTCTAAGAAACTCTCTAATTAACTATATCTACACATACATACATACATATATGTTAATCTCAAGATTCCCATACAAAATCTTCTTCTTACAATATTCTTTTGTAAGATAGTCCAAGTTTTCCAGCTTCGTCAAACTATATATCTTGAACCTATGAGGAAGTAAATCGAGTCAATCTAATTTTGAGACTCAACAACAAAATGTACGCTTTTGCTTAAAAGAATATTATTTTCACTTTTAATCTCATGACTGATAGGCTACTTTTACAGTTTCACATCTAGTCATCAAGTATTATTTTTGTCACACTTGATATATGACCTTTTTGTCTATCACGTTTAGTCCATATGAGTGATCTGACCAAATGTCTGATAGAAAACAACCCGAACTCATCACATTCCTAATTCAAAAGAGCCATGATGGTTTAATTTTGAACACTTTGGTGCTTTTCGAGTAACGATGGATGATTTCAAATAAGAAATGTGACGCATTCTGATTGTATTCTTCTAAAAATGTAGCAAAAAATGAAAGCTACGCATAAACAAATAATAAAAATAATACTTGTTGACTAAATATGAAAGTGATGTAATAATTCCGGGACAAAAATGAAAACAATTCAAATATGCATGATAAAAATTGGACATCCAAGACAAAAGGCCAGGATAACACATAGGGTAAAGATATGCATGATATTGGCTAGTCCAAACACAACACTTTTACGGTCCAAAGTAGGCGTCCATCTTGTCAAACATATAGTTTTTTTAAGATAATGTCTAATACTTTTTTTTTAAATAAATACTTTAAAGTATATCGAGGCAAGATTATATGAGAATTGTTTATGCATAAATAATTGAATGTTGAATTTGCGTATTTAAATAGGTAATTCTAAGTTTACAAATGCAAGATAATATAGTCAAGATTGATTATAATTGTCAATAAAATAATTATATAGGTATGGTTGAAACCAAATACGGGACATAAGGGAGAGCAAATAAAAATTAGGGCATAAAATATTAAATATATAGTAATATTGAAGATCTAACTGCTGATTGCCAAACAAGGACATTGCGAGGTAGTTTCCCACTTCAATTTGTTGTGTGATTTGAATACTCTTTTGTCAATAAATATGACAAGTAGTTAATATGATTGGCTTAATTATATTTTTTTTATTTTTCTAAAACTATTATTATTATTATTATTTGTTGTTGTTGTTATTATTATTATTATTATTATTATTATTATTATTATTATTATTATTATTATTATTATTAAATATATGTATACCCTTAGGTCATTTTACATGTTAATCTAAACAGTTAATTTTTTCAAATATCTTTTTACCAACCGTTGATATAATTTACTGGTCAAATCCGCTAATATAATCCGAGCGCTAACTGCTAACTCTTGATTGTTAAACAAAGACATTGCAAGGTAGTTCTCACTTCAATTTGTTGTGATTTGAATACTCTCTTTATCAACAAATCCCTCAAGTAGTTAATATGATTGACTTTATTAATTATATTTTTTTTTAATGTTTTCATGGTATTAATAAAACAAATCCCTCAAGAATTTTTACATTAGAGAAATATAAAGACAATATAACTAATAAAATTATTTCTCTTAATTAATTTATTGCTAATGAATATTTTTTTAATAAAGACATTGTAGGGACAATAATGTAGCGAATATAATCAATTGATTAATTTGAATGTAAGGAATTTTTATATTCGAGAAAAATAAAGACAATATAACTAATGAAATTATTTCTCTTATTTAATTTATTGATAATGTATATTTTTTTTTTTGAATAAAGACATTGTAGATACATAATTCTAAAATAAAGAAATTCATATGTATT